GAAAATCAGTTCCTGCAATCGGTAGGCTGATGAAATTGGCCGATTTGCCGACCGAAGGCATCTGCAGTTGGCTCAAATTTTCCAAGAATGTCGTACCGAATCCAAAAATTTCGTTTCCACCATTCACCGAAAATTACATTCTATGACACTTCCAATCAGAAATCGACTTGTTAATCTGAAACTAGGTAAAATCGCGGGGAACTCAAAAAAATCAGGTACTAGACTGGTCTGCCCAGTGACAAGTCCGTTTTCCAGCACCATCCGAAAGAGGAAAACCACAGTTACCATGATATTACGTACATTGTTTACGGATAATCCCTACTTCTTTAAATATGACAACTTTACTGACAGTGGGTCATACACGTGCTGCTCACCAACATTTGACTAACAGCATACCACCAGAATCACATTTAAGATAGTTCAGTCTTCAACATTGCCCATTAATCTACGCAGATCGTGGCAACATTCGAAAAAGCGAAACTCAAACTATCAAAAAATTACATATTCTTAAGCGTGAATATAATCGACGGGTAATCCCTTCGCCTTAGTTTATTTTTTTAGGAATCTCACATAGTTGAACGCTCCTGCCACCCCGTCAAATAATAGATGCACTACTGTTTGCACATATTACCACATTTCCGTACAAATTGCCTAATATAATGGAGTATGAGGAATCAGCCATTTTGAGTTACTTTGAAGATATTCATTCCATCACACGTTCATTGGAATTAGTGTTTGCAAATGCTAAAAATTTGATCTGGAATATCCCACGAGGCATTTGAAGATATAAAATGCATTTCGACAGACTGCAAAATGCTCGTGCTCTGCGGGTTGCCGAAAATTTCAGCGATTTGTAGGAGGCCTGAGCGTCGACTTAGGCATTCGTCTGCTGAGATTAGTTAGGTGTGATTGATGAGAATGTTCATTTATTCTGTTCTTTCGATAGCACCTCCTTCAAGTATACAACTGCTAACGGCAACAATAAACTTCAACAAGTAATAGATGCACTACTGTCAACTGATCATTTTGCATGATAGAAGGCTGTGAGGTAGGTAATGAATGGAAATTATCTGACAGAATGAATGACTGACGGGAAGAAGGTAAGAAGTTCCACTTGAGTGCTTTTGCGCTCGTAAAATGAGCTTTCAATGAGATAGATCAGATCTGTGGGTGACGTTCATGAAACAATGGATAGATCTAGGTTTTTTGAATAATGATTTTAATAATTTCTGAAGAATATGACTGAATGGTAATACATGTGCAAATAACATTATCAAACAAACACGTGTACATGCAAATCAACAACAAACAAAGTAAAGTGATTACCCAAAGCAATGAATGATTATCAAACAACAACAAATTTTCGTCCCTCTCACGACGCAGTACTAGATGATCCTGGTAATAATCGACTGCATTCGGGACTTTGTTTGAATATGCGAATTTTACGTTGAATCTGTTTTGGTGTATCTTGATACAAATTCTTCGCATCACGTGCCATTTTCTAAAAATGATTATGACTATTGATATCGTCATTCGGACTTATCACAGTCGGAAAAGTCACAATCACGAGAACTTTTAGGAGAAAGCTGGAATGAACACCACCCAAATGAATTGAAAATACTGCTGGCACGATGGTGCTAAAAGTTTTGAGATAGACATCAATCATTTACAGAAAATTAACGAAATATGAACACTGAACGAAAAAGGTCTCTAAGAAACGAACCTCATAATCCTCTCCATGTTTTTGTATCATGTAAACACAAAACTCAATATCTTTTTCTAGCAGTCTGTAAGTTCGCCCTTTCTTTATTTGTTTCTCCTCTCGTTTCACTTCCCTTTCCAGCGCACGTATCACACGCGCTGCCTTCGCACGATCAACATTTGGATCGCTGCTGGATTTCTGGACAAAGAAAATAGGAACAACATTATTAATTAGAAGGCACAGAAATGGTACATTACATCAATACGGTTATGAAATTGAAGAAAATTATGACATGAAAGAACAGTGTGGAATATAAATTTGATATTCCATATTTTTTTGCTTATTCAAATTAGAAAAAACTAGAAGAAGGCATGAAGGGAATCGATCCGAACTTTTGAATGAAGTTTTTCTTTTTGTTCTTTGATACTTCCTCGAGCATTCACTTCTTCAACGTCCATTTCTTCTACTTCATCATCAGCTGTATTGCTGATTTGCTGAAAATGTTTTATCCAGTCATATTTTGAAATTCGCTTTGATGGAAGATCAACGAAATTCCGATAAAGAAAGTAATTTAATTTGCAATAATATGAATGCAATGTATCGTTCCGAAAAGAGATATTTATAAATCAGACAAAAAGCTGACAAACCTGACGAATCGGAATGGCTTTATTCGCGTCATATACAAGACCCATTGATTCAAGATTTTGTTTCAGTGTTTTACCTTCGATCCATTCACTCAGAATCTCTTTGCTGAAGTATTGAAATTCATAACGAACAAACGGAAACTCAAAATAATTATCGTATAACAACGGGGAATGAGAGTTGACCAAATTTCGTTACCTTGCGCATTTTGTAGCAAGTGTTTTCTTCTTCTGCGCTTTCTTTCTAGCGTTTGATGCATTCTTCTTATTATTGCTTACATGAAGACCCTTTTTACCGCCGTGCTTTACGGAACGAGGCATTGCTGCAATTACATCGACTTGATGAAACACTGCGATGAACGCACCCGATAAAATCTTTTCAATCAAATATTTCTAATTAAAAACATTTCATCGAACACCTAAACGAAGCATAAATAGGATAGAATAATTTTAAGTTTGGAATGGAGAAAATGTAACGAGCTAATATGTAAAAAACCGTGATATTTGACCAATAAGTAGTCGGTCACACAAACTTCGTCTAGGTTCGCTTTTTGAGCAATG